ATGCGGGATTTTGTCTAGAATGTAGCTTGGATCCCGGGTGGGATTGGCGGGATCCCACCTGGGATTCAAGGCGGGATCCCATGTGGGAGGTTCCAAAATCCCGGTCGGGATCCCAGGTGGGATGGGCGGGATTCCACCCGGGATCCCAGGCAGGATCCCGGCGGGATCCCAGGCGGGATTGGCGGGATCCCGCCTGACTTTTTTACCTGGGTTAACATACAGCTCCAACTTATAAAGAAGTCCAAGAAAAATGATTTCTAGCTTCAATATTAATGAACTGCTCTTAACCGTAACATGTAAGTTTAACCAGCATTAACCGAGATAAAAAGTGTTAGTGATTTTTATGTGTTATGATGAGAAAATCATACGATCAACTCACTTCCGGCTTTGAACACTGATTGAACTAACATCAACTGATCAAGGGATCAAGACTTCACAATAAGCTTATGTGCGTAGAAATTAAACTGTAAAGGAGTTTTTTTATTATTCACTGGTAATTAATTAGCGCCAAGTTATTAACTCAATCCCCTCACCGCCTCCCCCTGCTTTGAAATGTTTCAACTACTAACATAGGCGACAAAAGTGTTTACCCCACCGCCCCCCCGCTCCACTTTTGTAGAATAATTAAATAACTATCTTTTATTTTACCATGGTCAACTCATTATAATAGGACTTAAAAACACTATTTTTTACAAAACTATAATTGACTGGGTTTCCAATGAATTAGTTGGGTTTCCTGCATTCAATTTTGGTATATGGGTGACCCAACTTCCATTTTTTTAAAAACATGCGTCTCTACATTGGAAAGAAGTTTTTTTGCTCTGGGACGCCTCAAAACATACCTTAGAAAGATCAGTTACACAGTTGCATGCTTGTTCACTGTCACAAGATATGGCTGACACAATCAACCTCGTTGTGATCACCAAGACGTTCGCAAGTGCAAATGAACAAGGAAGGGGCATTTTGGGAAGTTCAAGTAAATGTTGACTGGTCTGTTTAAAACAAGAACCAATTTATGTACTCGTTTGGATCGGGACATTTCAATTTTTTATCAGCACTCCCTCCTCATCCCCAACCCCCTATGGAAGGCTATCCTAGTTAGCTAGTCTTTTTTTATCGGCCCCATTGGGTATTGTGTCGTGTTATTTTAAAACGTGTATAGGAAAGCATATTTAGCACTATTTTTGGTGCTGGATTTAGGAAAAAAACACAAACATGACATTGCAGTTCACAAGAAAATTATCATGAAAATTATTAGTGCAGAGCTGAAACTTTGATCAAAATATCGGCGGGGGAACTGACAGACTGATATATTTTCCACATTGTGAAGTGAATTCCAAACTAGCCTTCAGGCTGAAAAAAGACAAGGTTTTGAGGGTAATTAAAAAGCCAAACTTTCAAATACGCGTTGGAGAAACGTCGCGTGACATTATTTATAAGCAAACTTGTCTGCACAAAATTGCTCCTATATCTTGATCTCCGCTCTTTTTTTGGAAAATACTGGCCCAAATTGCTTCAATATTCCACTATTGTTGCATTTGCAACTCTGTGATATTTGCATGAGATGTTGCTCGTGTTTCACTGAGTAAACATTATTTCACAGATCAGCCCTTCATGAATGAAACATGATAGTGCACCAAAAATAGTTGCCTGGAAACAGCGGATGACGTCAAGGTGGATACCAACCGGAAGTGCCCGATATATAGCCTCAAACAAATATACATGGACCAGGCAATAATGCACAAGACGCACAACAAGATTATAAATCACTTTTGGGAGGAATGATACAGACTAAATATCCATAGACCTTTCCGTCATTACGATCCAGTGAGCAAATATAAAGAATTTCACACAAATCACTGTGTTTTGTCCACCTGAGCCGCGAGTTGGTGCCTTTGTTTACAGGAGTGCGGGAAAGGTCTATTGGAGGGGCACTTATAATACAGGAGGCATTTATTTAAACCAATTGTATCATTTCAGTACTACTCAATTGCAGTGAACAATATTGAACATCCTGCAAGGAAACTGGTTGCCTGTGTTCTGTGTTGTCTTAATCCCCCTAAAAAACAAAAAGCCAAACAAGTAGGCGAGAGTCAATCCTAAAAAAAGAAGTGCATAGGCAAGTTGACGTTTATAATATTGTGTTTGCCTAGTCAACGTTTACAGAATCCACGTTGTAAAGTGCTCTGTAAATCCTTACCTAATGCCAGGCCTGTTAGTCCGACCCTTTCATAATAAATGGTGATTCATGCCACTATTCACTGGATAAATACCTTTGCTTAACTACAACACTGACATGAGTCTTGAGAGAGTCATGTCATTATAATCTGACTTGTGGGCAGTGTGATTGATATGCTACTATAGTGAGGAATTATATTCTCCTTCTATTCATCAGCCATGGCTGCCTCATCTGATCATCCTCAGACCATGAAAGCAACAAGGAGTCTGGACAATTCAGAGGTTCAGTCTTTTTCTTAATTATTTTTACCAATGCTATATTTTATTCAAATTATACTATAGTGTTAATATGTCAGCTGACATGTTGACTGATATGGTGGACATGTTGACTAATGTTAACCAATGATGACTGAGATTTGGTCAACATATTGACTGACAGTGAGCAGACATTTTTACTGAGGGGTGCCTTCAATACAAAAGATAATGATTTGTTTGTTTGTAGTCAACTTTAATCTATTTGTATGGTCACATATGTATACACCTAATTGAAGTTTAAGTGTTTTATAAAAAAAAGTGACAAATATTTGCAATCCATTGAATTGGCCTATTTGTCAGTTTCGTAACTATAACATTTTACCTTCAGATTTAAAAGGAATCCTTCATTTCTGAAACTCTTAAACAAAACTGTAAACTTGAAATGTTGTAAGCTGTTAATTTATCAATTGCATGACTGGTTTGAGAATAACTCTAAAATTTGAAAGAAATAATGTTGATGCTTAATTAATTCCTGTTTGAATGAAAGGGCAAATTTCTGAAGCCTGTTTGGGGTTCATTAGGTGGGGTAAGGGGGTTGGGGGGGGGGATTACAACATTTGGCCATTCTACCTCTACATTGTCACTTCATTTTATTTATCAAGTTTAGCTTACTGCCCATCAATCCCTACAATACATGGCAGTTTGGGGGATTGTTAATTTTTTTAGTAGGCAACAAAGAGTCATAGCTGACCTCCTTTTTGGGTATTAATAGGGTGTACCTCAGGGTACTATACTAGGGCTTATTCTGTTTTCGTAATGTTCAAAGATATACAAGCTGTTGATTCTGACAGATGCACTTAATTTTACAGTAATTGTGTTGGTTAAGGGAACACAGTACCAAACGTCTTTGGACAAGCAAATTATTGTTCTTGTCTCAGCAAAGCGGGGAGGGGTATACACACATTGCAAGTGTGTAAGAAGTATGGCTATTGTCTAGATCTCTTCCATGGTCTGATTATACCACTTCCTACCTATGGCATTTCAGTGTGGGGTACTGCAAGTTATAATGAGTATCTCTTTCTAAAATTGATAAGTTTCCAGAGAAAGCAGTTTGTTTTGGCTTTCTCAAGAATAGGCCATGCCTGTTTTAAGCCTTCTACAGGCCTAAGATAATAAGTTGTGAAAAGCATCACAAATTATACGGAGGTCACTTTGGCACAACTCCTCCCACCCAGAAAAAAAAGGCTGCTAAGAAATCAGGGTCACTCCTTTGTACTTCATCAAATTAAGACTGGACATTTTAAACAGTGTTTTATTAATAGGTGTCTTTTCAATTTTATGTAATGTTTGTGAATTGTAATCTGGAATTATGTTTGTTTTTGGAATTAATAAAGGGCTTATTTATTTATTTATTGTATCAACTTATATAATTAGTTGATTATATAAAACAAATTGTTGTTTAAATTGCTATTAATGTGTTTTCTTTCATTTTTTTTTTCTGTGACTGCTGCACTATTAAAATAAGGTTAGTATCTTTTAATGCTATCCCATTAACACTGATTGATATAGACATAGCTTATTAATGACTTACATGCAATAAGTTCTTATACATGTAAGAAGCTATTTTGCCATTCCCAACTAAATGCTTCCATATACATGTACACTCTCTTTTATGCTCAAGACCCTGCAAGTATCATAGAAGAAACTTAATCATTGTCTTATTAGTTTTGGATGACAAGGGATCAATGTGAAGAGTTGGAAATACAAGAGTGGAGCAAATTATGTGGGCGTGGTGTAAAAAAGAGGCAGCATGGCCGAGCACTGGACTTGTAATTTGGAGTTCAAGTCCTGCTAGCTGGACTTGTTCTTACGAGTCCAAATCCTCCACCATGCTTGTAAAATGCCAACTGGTTTACCTCCTACCAGTTGGGATTTTTAACCATGTTATGTTCTATTTATTAAATACTTCTATATACTTCTACTGAGGTCCCTCACCACGCCTCATTGTGAGAGACCTGCTAGCAGGGAAATAGTATACTCGTAAAATTAGGGAATAATTTCACTTGCATTTTGTCGACATCCTAATACTTCCTCTCGCCTTTGTTATCTATTAATATCATGGGTGGCAAATTATGTTCTCAATCATAGGTTTTTGACAGTGTTCATCGAATTGATTATCAATGTAGAACTCCATGCAATGAACATGTTAGAGCTTAAATTTTTTTCGCTTAAGCTCAGAATTTTTCAACAACATACCTGATAGAATCCTTCTTGATGTGCTCTTTTGTGTGTTTAGGTTTTCCAAAGCATCTTTTGATGCCCTGATATCTTCTCTCTGCTGCCATCTTAGCACTGACACGTACGCAAGGTTGCCATTGCAATTTTGTAATTTTATATGTAAAATTCTAAATTAACGATGAAATTTTGTTCCAAAATTAAGGAGTAATTCACCACCCGTGATAAAATATTAGTTTCAGCTATCCCTGAAAAGCCCCATTATCATTATCATCGTCACCATTATTGGTATCATCATCATCATCATCACCATCGTCATCATGTTTTTGTAGGCTTGCTCTCCTGAGACCAGTGTTCCAGCGTTACATGTTACTCTTCTTGGTGATGAGTGGAGTTCATCTGCTGGTGGGTTGTCGACCATAAACAGAGAGCTTGCTATTCACCTTTCAAGTCATTCAGCAGTGAATGTTTCTTTGTTAGTCCCCGAGGGAGCTTGCAATTATGAAGAAAAAAATGAAGCCCTTACCTATGGAATCACTGTCGTTGAGGCGAAGAGACGTGCTGCATTTGATCGTCTTGTTTGGTTAAGCTCACCACCCAAGGATCATGTTATGGACGTCGTTGTTGGTCATGGGGTAAAACTTGGTCGGCAAGTTCAATTCATCAGAGACTCTACACAATTTCCAAATTGTAAGTGGGTACAAGTGGTGCATACTGCTCCAGAGGACTTAAGCAAGTACAAATGCTACACTGACCCCATTTCAAAAGGTGAATCAAAACACGAATCAGAAGTTGAACTTTGCAAACTTGCTGACCTTGTTGTGTCCGTGGGACCGAAACTGAAAGAAGCATACACTTCATATTTACAACGATGCAAGACAGATCAAGACGTGTTATCGATTACTCCAGGTCTTTTTCAAAGGGAGTTTGGGGATTTAGTGGCAAAACAAGATCCTAACGAGGATGGTGAATTCAAAGTGTTGTTATTTGGTCGTGGGGATGATGAGGACTTTGAACTCAAAGGATACAACATTGCTGCTAAGGCACTTACTGATCAACGGTTAAAAAACAAACCTTACCATCTACTCTTTGTCGGGGCACCTGAAGGAAAGCAAGAAGAAGTTAGAGAAAAACTTCTACAGCGTGGTATTGCAGAAGCACAGTTGACTATTAGAAAATTTATCCAAAGTAGAGACAGACTGAAAGATTTGTTGTGTGAAGCTGACCTTGCCATCATGCCATCAAAATCAGAGGGATTTGGTCTTGTTGCCCTTGAGGCGTTGTCTGCGGGACTACCCATTCTTGTAGGCAGTAGGTCAGGTTTTGCCAAAGCATTAGAAAATGTTCCTCATGGTAATGCATGCATCGTGAATTCAGATGACCCTGCAAAATGGGCAAAAGCAATAGAAGCTGTTCGCATAAGGCATCGAATGAGGCTTCAAGAGATAAAATCACTGAGAGCGTCTTATGGGGAGATGTACAGTTGGAAGGAGCAGTGTGAAGCCCTTGTGATCAGAATGTGGAGAATGAATCGTGGTGAGTGTTATTTGTTAAGTGGTGATGTGCATAATTGTTTATGTTGTACCAGTCATTACAGTAATGTAGTTTTCGTGGCACAATATATGCAAATATAAGGGTGCAGCGATGGTCTCTCACAAACACTGAATAGATGTAGTTCTTTGACCACATTTTCAAGCACTATAAATTCTCTTTGCAAATTTAGTACATGTACGAGTTGTTCCGGAATATTTGACCACTAAATTGTTTGCTAGATAAATATGGCCAAGACAATAATATACTTCTTTACATTCCTAATAAATTACTTTCCTAAGAAGTCACCTTCAATTCTTTTACGTGTAGAGCCATACTTGAATTTCAGTGTTGTTATTTTTTAAACTGCTACTGAAGGAAAACATACAAAGACAGTCAGTTTTGTGTTGGGCTGTAGAAAAACATGCAAAAATAAAATGGGCTACTTGAAATTTTTAGATGCCTACTTTTTCTTTATAATAATGAAGCTTAAATGTTTTATACACACCTTTTTAAATTGTATTGGAAGTTGTCAAAGTGAATTTAAATGCATGAAAAGATCTGTGATGTGTGGAATAAGGGTCTCCATCACATTTAAGGGTCAAAGTTGTCTGTGACCGTCAAAATTTATTTTTAGTGTTACATGGGACGAGGTTGGTTGGTTACACAGGTGGTTATGGCTGGCGCAGAGGTGAATGGGTTACAAAAACATATAAACATTATTGTGTAAGAAGCTGATATCAAAGGGTTGTTCTCACACCAGATGCCTTTGATGTACCAAAGGGTGTTTCTGCCACTGAAAAGCAGCCTGTTTCAAAAACACATGCTTCAGCTTCTGGATTCTCAGAAGAGCTATGTCCAGTTGATGAAGAGACGAAAACTGAGGATGCAACCAGATTAAGTGAAGAATCTCCCTCAGTTTGCCATACTCCTAGCGTTTCAGGGCTCACTTCTGACCAACACCTGGGACCATGATTCACCATTTGGCGACAACACCCTGTACAAAAAAAAAGAAACCCCTGCATTTTTAGAGTCTGGCAGCTAAAGCAAGCTCGACATAAAAGTGAAAAGGAACAAAAATGGGATCGCTTACAAGTTTTGCCCTTAAGTCTTGATAAAAATATTCGCGAATACCTGTCTGAAAGTTATGCTCTGATAACAGCAAAACATTTCTATTTCTTCACCTACATTTTCAGAGCCTTCTATAGAAATTGACAACAACCAAAGAACAAACTCTTACGACGACGAGCAGCTTGTTTCAGAAACGTCCCTTCGTAGTGACTGTGAAATGAAAGCTGATGCTGCATCAGGACATCAAACTAAAATATCCACGAATACAGACTCTCAGTCTCAAAATAGCGGTAAGCGGAAAATGTCAGAATTCTCTTGTAATCCAGCTATGCAAAAACGTGAGTTGTTCTTCTTGCTATTGCTCAACAGTACACTACTATATCTAAAGGGGGGAAGTGATTGTTAGATTATTCAAACGTACTTTTTCCTACAGGACTTGTTACCGTTTACGCTCGTAATGTATAAGTGTATTATTAGTAATGGTAAAACTTATACTAGCCCCGATATCAATAGTCGCTGGATAGTCGCCATTTTTATCAGCTGTTATATATAGGTATAAAGAAAAAAAATTTTGAATAAACAATAAATACCGATCAATATATAAATATATATATAAAAAAATTAAAAGATATCGACACTAAAATTATAAAAATTACTTTGGTTACTTTTAAAACTGTGGATACTGCATAAAACCTACTAAAAAATTACATCTTATTACCTACATTGTAAGGGCTGTCTGGAATGAAAATGTCTTGAGGGCCTTCTTTCAAATGACAACTGGGGGGCTTCTCCATATCGCAAAAAGAAATAAATCCCAACTTTAAGCGCAGCAAAAGCAGAAGAGCGATCTCTTAACGTGTTTTAAGTCCTGAATTCTCCACTATGCCATTTAAAAAAAAATGCGCCAACAGGTTTTCCAATTTTGCTAATTGTATCTTTCATCGAATTATTGTGAATCTCTGCTAACGCCCTAACCAAGGTGCCTAGTGGAGGCTTGGATGAGGTTTTTAAACCTCCTTGGCTATGGTTGATGCGCCTGAGTAGACATTCAGTAATGATGAGTACCTTGACGAGAGCCGTTTCTTAAATATAGGCACTTCAAGTGAGGATAGCGGAATCTTTTTTAAAAAGCATATGCCCTCCAAGATAGCTAGTCATGAAAGAACATCTTCCCTGAGGAAGGAACCTCTCACACAACAGTAAAAATTATATTGACCACGTAAATTTGTGTAAGCAGGTAAAAAGTGTTAAGTTATTGCCCCTACTGAATGTTTTGTTATTAATAGTTTAAAAAACGTTTAACTTTCCTGTTATTGATTTTCAGACTCTGTTCTTACTACTGCCTTTATCGAAGTTAAAGTTTCTTCAAATGCCCAAGATTTAACTGTTGAACAGCAAAGAACGATAACTAAAGAATTGGAGCGGTTGGCTCACAGGTACCGAAGACACCAAGATCTTTCGTCATTGCCATTTGTTAGTAGAGTAGCCCGCCTTGCTGAGTTTATAGAAAAGGCTTTTGAAGTGGTCGTATTGTTTGTGCAACCAGGATCTTTGATAATAACAGTACAGTGCCCCAGTCTAGAGAGTCTTGAAAGTCTGTGGAATGGTTACTGTTCTGGTTGCCTTAATGACATCGTTGAAAGGTTCCTGGTAACTGATGAACTCAAGAGAAAGCTCAGGATAGACAATGTCAGGTTAAAGACAACTATAGAAGAAGAAAACTACTTAGTTTGTAAGAAAGCTTTCATGGAAAACTCAGGTGAGTTGGGCAGTCTTAGCACAGCTTTTTAAAGAAGTTAGAGAAAAACTTCTACAGCGTGGTATTGCAGAAGCACAGTTGACTATTAGAAAATTTATCCAAAGTAGAGACAGACTGAAAGATTTGTTGTGTGAAGCTGACCTTGCCATCATGCCATCAAAATCAGAGGGATTTGGTCTTGTTGCCCTTGAGGCGTTGTCTGCGGGACTACCCATTCTTGTAGGCAGTAGGTCAGGTTTTGCCAAAGCATTAGAAAATGTTCCTCATGGTAATGCATGCATCGTGAATTCAGATGACCCTGCAAAATGGGCAAAAGCAATAGAAGCTGTTCGCATAAGGCATCGAATGAGGCTTCAAGAGATAAAATCACTGAGAGCGTCTTATGGGGAGATGTACAGTTGGAAGGAGCAGTGTGAAGCCCTTGTGATCAGAATGTGGAGAATGAATCGTGGTGAGTGTTATTTGTTAAGTGGTGATGTGCATAATTGTTTATGTTGTACCAGTCATTACAGTAATGTAGTTTTCGTGGCACAATATATGCAAATATAAGGGTGCAGCGATGGTCTCTCACAAACACTGAATAGATGTAGTTCTTTGACCACATTTTCAAGCACTATAAATTCTCTTTGCAAATTTAGTACATGTACGAGTTGTTCCGGAATATTTGACCACTAAATTGTTTGCTAGATAAATATGGCCAAGACAATAATATACTTCTTTACATTCCTAATAAATTACTTTCCTAAGAAGTCACCTTCAATTCTTTTACGTGTAGAGCCATACTTGAATTTCAGTGTTGTTATTTTTTAAACTGCTACTGAAGGAAAACATACAAAGACAGTCAGTTTTGTGTTGGGCTGTAGAAAAACATGCAAAAATAAAATGGGCTACTTGAAATTTTTAGATGCCTACTTTTTCTTTATAATAATGAAGCTTAAATGTTTTATACACACCTTTTTAAATTGTATTGGAAGTTGTCAAAGTGAATTTAAATGCATGAAAAGATCTGTGATGTGTGGAATAAGGGTCTCCATCACATTTAAGGGTCAAAGTTGTCTGTGACCGTCAAAATTTATTTTTAGTGTTACATGGGACGAGGTTGGTTGGTTACACAGGTGGTTATGGCTGGCGCAGAGGTGAATGGGTTACAAAAACATATAAACATTATTGTGTAAGAAGCTGATATCAAAGGGTTGTTCTCACACCAGATGCCTTTGATGTACCAAAGGGTGTTTCTGCCACTGAAAAGCAGCCTGTTTCAAAAACACATGCTTCAGCTTCTGGATTCTCAGAAGAGCTATGTCCAGTTGATGAAGAGACGAAAACTGAGGATGCAACCAGATTAAGTGAAGAATCTCCCTCAGTTTGCCATACTCCTAGCGTTTCAGGGCTCACTTCTGACCAACACCTGGGACCATGATTCACCATTTGGCGACAACACCCTGTACAAAAAAAAAGAAACCCCTGCATTTTTAGAGTCTGGCAGCTAAAGCAAGCTCGACATAAAAGTGAAAAGGAACAAAAATGGGATCGCTTACAAGTTTTGCCCTTAAGTCTTGATAAAAATATTCGCGAATACCTGTCTGAAAGTTATGCTCTGATAACAGCAAAACATTTCTATTTCTTCACCTACATTTTCAGAGCCTTCTATAGAAATTGACAACAACCAAAGAACAAACTCTTACGACGACGAGCAGCTTGTTTCAGAAACGTCCCTTCGTAGTGACTGTGAAATGAAAGCTGATGCTGCATCAGGACATCAAACTAAAATATCCACGAATACAGACTCTCAGTCTCAAAATAGCGGTAAGCGGAAAATGTCAGAATTCTCTTGTAATCCAGCTATGCAAAAACGTGAGTTGTTCTTCTTGCTATTGCTCAACAGTACACTACTATATCTAAAGGGGGGAAGTGATTGTTAGATTATTCAAACGTACTTTTTCCTACAGGACTTGTTACCGTTTACGCTCGTAATGTATAAGTGTATTATTAGTAATGGTAAAACTTATACTAGCCCCGATATCAATAGTCGCTGGATAGTCGCCATTTTTATCAGCTGTTATATATAGGTATAAAGAAAAAAAATTTTGAATAAACAATAAATACCGATCAATATATAAATATATATATAAAAAAATTAAAAGATATCGACACTAAAATTATAAAAATTACTTTGGTTACTTTTAAAACTGTGGATACTGCATAAAACCTACTAAAAAATTACATCTTATTACCTACATTGTAAGGGCTGTCTGGAATGAAAATGTCTTGAGGGCCTTCTTTCAAATGACAACTGGGGGGCTTCTCCATATCGCAAAAAGAAATAAATCCCAACTTTAAGCGCAGCAAAAGCAGAAGAGCGATCTCTTAACGTGTTTTAAGTCCTGAATTCTCCACTATGCCATTTAAAAAAAAATGCGCCAACAGGTTTTCCAATTTTGCTAATTGTATCTTTCATCGAATTATTGTGAATCTCTGCTAACGCCCTAACCAAGGTGCCTAGTGGAGGCTTGGATGAGGTTTTTAAACCTCCTTGGCTATGGTTGATGCGCCTGAGTAGACATTCAGTAATGATGAGTACCTTGACGAGAGCCGTTTCTTAAATATAGGCACTTCAAGTGAGGATAGCGGAATCTTTTTTAAAAAGCATATGCCCTCCAAGATAGCTAGTCATGAAAGAACATCTTCCCTGAGGAAGGAACCTCTCACACAACAGTAAAAATTATATTGACCACGTAAATTTGTGTAAGCAGGTAAAAAGTGTTAAGTTATTGCCCCTACTGAATGTTTTGTTATTAATAGTTTAAAAAACGTTTAACTTTCCTGTTATTGATTTTCAGACTCTGTTCTTACTACTGCCTTTATCGAAGTTAAAGTTTCTTCAAATGCCCAAGATTTAACTGTTGAACAGCAAAGAACGATAACTAAAGAATTGGAGCGGTTGGCTCACAGGTACCGAAGACACCAAGATCTTTCGTCATTGCCATTTGTTAGTAGAGTAGCCCGCCTTGCTGAGTTTATAGAAAAGGCTTTTGAAGTGGTCGTATTGTTTGTGCAACCAGGATCTTTGATAATAACAGTACAGTGCCCCAGTCTAGAGAGTCTTGAAAGTCTGTGGAATGGTTACTGTTCTGGTTGCCTTAATGACATCGTTGAAAGGTTCCTGGTAACTGATGAACTCAAGAGAAAGCTCAGGATAGACAATGTCAGGTTAAAGACAACTATAGAAGAAGAAAACTACTTAGTTTGTAAGAAAGCTTTCATGGAAAACTCAGGTGAGTTGGGCAGTCTTAGCACAGCTTTTTGGGGGAACATGCATTTTGCCTTAATAAGTTTTAAGCAATTTTTATTGCTGTATCAAATATTTTGATAAGCAAATAAAGTGGATAAAAACTCAGGGTGCAAAGAAAGTCAACCATAGCATGCACTAGCCCACAGGTCATTTCAACCAGCCCCAAATCCCTTTTTGATTAGCAGGATTGATTACAATCCTTCTTTAATTTGAATTTCCCCCCCCAAACAGCACTTGCAATTCGGGCAAGTTAATAGCAAAAATCACTAGCCCGATAACAAAATGCACTAGCCCCGGGCTATCGGACACGACTTTCTTTGCACGCTGAAACTGGTTAAAATTTTGTTTGTCGAAACATTTAATATACGTGAAAAAGCACTAAGTGCAAACATCCAGCTAAATGTTGCCATCTTGGCTGTTTACCATGACAACTGTTGTAAGTGCTGAGGTAATTTCAGCGGAATGGTCTGTGGAGAGCCGTCGTCATACCCTTCGGTCATAGCCTTTATTTGCAACACATAACATATTTGATTATAGTTATGAAAACATAATCTCCCCAATAGCATGTTTTCTCCATTTTCTTGCAACAGAAGATTCTCTAAAGGCCCGGAGCTTAGAATCAAAGTGCAACCGGTCTCAGAGGATGGAAAGCATGACTGAGGACCATGAAGGTATCTTAGTAGACAGCATGCGTAGAAATCATTTCTGTGTATTCTTAACCAAGTGAGCGAAGCGCGGGAGGCGCGCGAGAGCGAACAAAAAATAGGGACGGGGAGAGAAATAATACACCGGCCGCTGAGCTTCTATCCCAGGAATACACAACCTAATATATTATGCCCAACAAATGTCCGCCCCGGGTAGGAATGGGCACACCTGGAATTGACTAAGCCTTAAGTTTCAAAGAGAATATAATTGTAACCAAAGCTTGTTTTTGCAGAGCCTTCTACAGAAATTGACAACAACCAAAGAACAAACACTTCTAACTACGAGCAGCTTGTTTCAGAAACGTCCCTTAGTAGTGACTATGAAATGAAAGCTGATGCTGCATCAGGAAATCCAACTGAAATATCCACAAATACAGGCTGTCAGTCTCAAAATAGCCGTAAGCGTAAAATGTCAGAATTCCCTTGTAATCCAGGTATGCAAAAACATGAGTTGTTTTTCTTGCTATTGCTCAATAGTACAGTACTATGTCTAAAGGGGGGAAATGATCGTTAGATTTTTTAAAGGTACTTTTGTTACCGTTTAGACTCGTACCGTAGAAGTGTATTATTGATAACAGTAAAACGTATATAGCGCCGATATCAATAGTCGCTTGATAGGCGCCATTTTCATCAGTGGTTACAAAAAAGTTTTTAAATAAATATTTAAATACATAAAAGATATAAATATGTTGAACACTAAAGTTAAAAAAAAAAATACTTTGCGTACTAAAACTGTACTAACTGCATAAAACCTTTTTTATTTTATTTTATTTGCTATTGCAAAGTACAACAATTACAACAATTACAATTATTATCACAAAGCATACATGCACAAACTTACTACACACCTAAGCACACGTGCAATTCCCCGATTACCACACAAGGTAATGCCTACTGTTATTTTACAAGTGCTATTCAAAAAAGAAGAAACTAACCATTTTTTTTTCAAAAGAAGAAAAACTACCTAGATTACAAAGTCCATTTGTCCATTATTTTTTGTAAATTCTTATTCTTAGTGAAAATATATTTTTCTATTTCATATTTACCGTTTATTCTAACTATAAAACTGTTTATGGTTAGCTATGGTTGGAAGTAGTTCATTCCTTCTGCAACTCCATAAATATATTTTCCCTATAAGTATAAGATAATTAAGCAAGGGGCATTCAGAAGATAAAAAGCCGATCCAAATTTCCTTTAATGTTAGGTGAACTAGTTGTTTTCGCAACCCAAAATAATATGATTCAATACATTTCCAGAATGAATTCGAATAAGGGCAGTCCCAAAAGAAATGTCTAATAGTTTCTGATTCCCTTTTGCAAAAATAGCACAAGTTGTCTGTCCTGTACCCAATCTTGAACAACTTTGAGTTGGTAAAAAGTGTAGAATTAAGTATTTTAAATTGAAAGGCTTTGACAAAAGGTTTAAACGCGATAGAATGGGGCAAGAGAAATGCCTTTCTGAGATTGTCATTAGATAGATTAAAATCCAACTTCAGTTTTTCGTGCATAATTTGGGAGACAAGCCTTCTTTTTGATCAAAAAAGGATAATAATCTTTTGATTTCTTTTTTGCTATGTCGAAAACGCCGCCATTGATTTTAAAGGAAGGTATTGCATTAAAGGTACTCTTAAGTTGGTTGGTATTGAATGTCTCATACTAGTCCATTCAAGGAAGTTTGTCTTTTTAAAATTTTTTGCCATCTGTTCGTAGGATCCAATCCTACGAACTGCATAAAACCTACTAAAACCAAATAAAAAGGTTACATCAAATTACATAAAAACTTTCTGGAATGAAAATGTCCCGAGTACCTTCTTAAAAATCAGGGGCACCCAACGACTCTTTTGTGTAAAATATCTGTTCGGAGAAGTAAATATTGCCTAGAATTTTCTATTGCTTGAATACGGCTAATAATTTCTAGAGGAGCGTTCCTTTACGAAGCCTATCTAGAAAATAACCTACGATTTTCTGAAGTTTCGTTTTTCATATTTTACTCCTTATGTTAGGCTAATTTTCGTAGAACAAGAAACCTGAAATTTTCGGATTCAAAAATGTGGTGGAGAGAGGAATAAGAAAAATTATCACTTTCGTAAAACGTTCAATTACATCTAAACGTTTCGAGAAAATAACACTGTAGCCCTTGAGTTTTCGAAAAGCCTCAAATTCCCGTGGGATGACCAAACAGATACAAATTTTATAGCGCCGCTTAGAATACGTTCCTAGAGATCTAAAAGTACTCTAGATAGCTACGAGCCTAAAAAGGCTTTTCATGATGCATTTAGTAGGAAACCGTCGTTGGTTGCCCCTGAAAAATGGCGACTGAGGGGCTTCTCTATATCGCAGAAGGAAACAAATTTTAAACTTTAGGAGCAGCAACAGCAAAAGAGTGATCTCCTAACGTGGTTTCAGTCCTGACTTCTCCGCTATGCCATTAAAAATAGCTTAGCGACAAGTATTTTCAAAAATATATGCGAACAAAATTCCCAATTTTGCTAATTGTATCTTTCGTCGAATTGCTATAAACAGTATCATTTCTAAAACATTCAATTATGCGTCTAATATCGTGAATCTGTGATATCTAAACTTCCTTTTTGGGGGCTTGGATGAGTTTTTTAATGCTCTTTGGCTATGGTGAATTTGCTTGAGTAGACATTCTGTAATAATGAATACCTTGACAAGAGCCGTCTCTTAAATGCAGGTACTTCAAGTGAGGATAGCGGAGTCTTTTTTAAGGAGCATATGCCCACCAAGATAGCTAGTCATGAAGGTGCATCTTCCTTGGCAAAGGAATCTCTAAACAACTGGAGTTTGCAAAACATTGCAGGATCAACTTCTAGTATAGGTAAATGGAACAAGCTAATTGTTTTGATATGTTGGTACAGTAGTAATAGAGAGGAGATTGTGACGTCACGTTACTATGGTAGCACTATTTCTGGATGACAACAAAACCAACGACGAAGGCGACAGCAAGGAGATCGGCAAAAATGATATGTTTATATTAACAAACAATGACTTTGCACGTGCATCACGCTATTTTGTACATTTCTTTGCCGCCTTGTACCACTACGACATGAAACTTAATTTCACGAGCCCGCTTTATCGAGTAGGGGTGAACACAACACAAAAATCGTCCCTTTCATTTTCTAAACTTAGATAACGTTAGATATGGTCTCAAAGAAAATGTCGCCAAGATTTGCCAAATTAAATGAAACTGAATAAGATCGGCGAAATAGTTCGAATAGACTTTTAAGTAACTTTTTCGGTTTGTTGTCATCCAAAAATGTTGCTACCAGGGCAACGTGACATAACGACGTCTCCTTTCTGTGAAGGTTCAGGAATATTGTTTTTCTGAAAAGATGGCCGACCTCGATATTTAGGGGAAAAAACTTCAAAGTTTTAGCATGTAACAATGATATTGAAAAAACAGTCACCCAGGCGAACCCCGCCTTACAGATACGTCATTATTACGGACACTTTCCTTGTCCCTGGGTAAAGCCCTTACATTTTCTCTAAATTCTCTTAATACACGGACACCCGTTAATAGGGAACACGGACACTTGTTTCTTGTCCAGTCAATAGATTCTCATGGAATATCAACTTACAGTCGGCGACAAAATTGTTGAGACATTGTACTCAAGTAGGATAACTTCAGAGAACAAAAGAATCAACACCCCTCCTCTGTCCCCTCCATTCGAAGTTGGGGTGTTTGTTGTTTTCTGTGTAGACATTACTCTAGTATAGTTTTCGTGGCACTGTATACGCAAATGTACGAATGCAGCGATAGTCTTTCACAAGCACTGAATACATGAAGTTCTTTGACCACATTATCGAGTGTGCAGGAAGGTACAGTACTATCAGTTCTCTTTGTAAATTTAGTACATTGTACGAATTGTCCCAGAATTTTTTATCTTTATCGTGAAAAGTAAGGGTAGCTAAATGAATATGGTTATAATATACCCCTTAACACTAAAAGATTACTTTCCTTAGAAATGAGTAGATGTGTAGATCCTCACTTGACGTTTAGTATTGTCTTTTAAAATGCTTCTAAAGGATAACATACAAAGACAGCCAATTTTGTGTTGGGCAGTGACAAACACGCAAAAATAAAATTGGCTACTTGAAATTTTAAGATGCCTGCTTTTCCTTTCTAATAATTTACCTA